CATGAGGTTGTACTCTCATGACCTACTCAGTGAATAAATACTCTGCCAGAAGCTTCATTAAGAGAGAGAGAGAGTCGCAAGACAGTTAGTAAATTATTGCTGTTTATCACTCGATATTGTTAGTGATACTGAAAGTTATTTTTGGAATATTGTTTTGATATGTATGATAAATCGTTTATTAATATTGGTGTGAAATCGGGCACTTGTTTATTAACTGTGTTTTGGTAAGTATTGTTATAGTGAATAAATTGTTGTTTTTTTTTACTGTTGAACACAATGTCCCAGATCACCTCTTTCCATTTTTGGAAACACTCCCTTATATACATTTACTTCTGTCTATGACATGTGAATAACCATTGAAAGCTCAGAATGTCCCCCTAGTGGCATTCTCAGCCATTTTCAAGTATTACAACATCATCTCCTTCAAGCTGGTACGGTGAGTCTTTAGTCTGCTCGAAATTTGATATATTTTTAGACCCAAATACAGCTTAATTACTAAGCTTGATAAATTATAGTGGAATTTTATGATATTAATATAGTAATTTATGATTTTTGGGTTATTTCAAATATATATATATATATATATATAATTATTTCGTTTCACATCCTCCACGTGCAAAATTTTGTAAAGCTTAGCAACCTACGACAAGCAGCAAATGAGTACAAAAGTCATAACTAGAAGAGATAATTGTTTGCTTTATTTACTGTTCTGTGTTTTAAGAAAAATAAATTTAAGAACTTACTTGTAATTAGTAATAATATATATTTATATATATATATATATTATGTATAATAATTGAAATGTGACTAAAACACGGCCACCACAGGTCACTTTGTAAAGACTAAAAGTCAGTTTTATATTATTGGATATGGTAACATGAGTGCATGTGTGCCGCGTCATTGTAACTTCTGGCATGACTGAAAGGTCGATATAATAAAAATAATAAATACATGTATAATGTTATGAGATTTAAGCTATTTAGTCTAAACATTTGTGTTTTTGTGTTGTAATTTGTAGTCATTCTAGAACGAAAAAGGCATAATTTATATTTTCCTAATTTTTTATGGTGGTTACGAGATTGGTCAATTCTACCGAACTTGTACTAAGATTCAATAGTGAAAATAACAAATGAAATATAAAGTTTTTTCTTAAGAAACATTTGATAATTATCTGGACATTATGAAGATTTTGCATGTAAAATTTGAAAATTGTTTGATGCATAAAAGTATTTTTAATCTTTGCATGTTGGATAGGCAACATGTTAAAAAAGAAAAATGGCATGAGAAAAACACTGTTTAACAAACCTTGAAACTTAATACAAAATCTGATATTTTGCGTATGAAAGCCTTGTAATGTTTACTGATAATCTGCCAAATTTCATGAACATGCGCATATTATTTTTAAAGTTATAACATGTAAACTATAAAAAGCACAAAATATTTACAAGGTTGGTCCCTGGGACCAACCTAGTGCTGAAAAAGTTTAAGACAAGGGGACTTCATACATGCCAAAAAAAAAATTGATGCCCAAAGTTTTCTAGCATATGAGTTGTTTACAGTACTAACATTCACAGCTTCGTTGATCTCAAACACTTGACGCGAGCCTACATTAGTGGATAATTGTGTTTTTTATCAAGTTTGACTAGATTTGTTGAAATTCAGTGAATTGTCTTTTTTTTGTAATGTAGTTTTTTATTAGTAATCTGCAATCATATTACAGTTTAGATTCACGTGTAGTTTCTATTATACCTTTACAGTTTATTATCATTACTTGTTAATCTTTATACTACTGAACATCACAGCAATAAGATATAAAACGAAAGTAATACAAGAGAATATAATAGTGTGAATAAAGCCTCAAAGCATACACAAGCAAGTGTGTTTTTTTTGCATATTATTTCACACACTAAAGATATTTAAGACTATATTTGTCATGACTGATTATTTCAAATATATAAATTTTGGATTGATTTGTAATACGTAAAAGAATTTCCAACATGTTTTCATGGGAACAGAAATTACTGTAAAAGGAATTTAAGTAAATTGGAAAGAGTTATTATCATCATACCTTACATCTGCCATTTTGATGGTTACTTGGTGAAAAAGAAGGATGTCTAAATCAGTTGGATTACGTGAAACTTAGAAACTTAATGCCAACAAACAAAGCAAACTACATATTATTATGTGCAAGAACTAATAATTGATTAGATCAGCCTTCCCGCTGCCTTTTTTGTAAAACAATACCTTGCACAAAGCTATAAGCATATCTTGGTTCACTTGTTTTATTTGTAACTAAATATTATAGTACAAAGAAAATAATTCAATAGAATGTGATAATTTTAAGACAAATTTGTAGTAGCAGTTAACAAGTTATTCACATTGAATGTAAGACAACACATGTATATATTCGGTTTATTAGGTGTGTGATATAGGAATGTATCATATGTATTCTCTCTCTGTAATATTAATATATATTTTGAATTTATCTTTGTTCTGAATATATGCAGGTTTTCACATAACACATGATCAGGAAATGCTATTAAGTCAATCTTGTTTCAAGTTATCTTTGTTTCTTTGCTATTCTCAAAGTTATGTAATACCTGTTACTGCCCGTGGAGAACTTTGCTTACTGTGACCTTGTTTCAAGAGATCAAGGGCAATGACCTTCACTGTTTGTACAGGTAATATCTGGAGGTTTTGGTTCCACCTGTGTGAAATGAGAATGATCAACCATGCAGTAGTGTAGTCATGTAAGGTAAATGTGAGGTTTCCTTTTTAAGTAGAAACCTTTTGTGTAGTTAATTCTCCTCAAGTCTGATCCAAGCCTGATCTTGGTTTTTGACCTGATAGAGAAACAACCATTCATACTCAAGCAGGAATACACACAGTTTTTTTCAGTGTTTTATTAAAGACTATTCTTTTTTTTTCCAGTATCTCTATTTCTTTTAGCAAATTCTCAGTTATTTAGCATTTTAAGTATTACTCCAGAATTCCATATCATGATCAAATCTCCTGTTTAATGGATTTATCCGATACAGATTGTGATCAAATCTCCTGTTTATTGAATTTATTTGATACAGCTCCAAAATATTTTCTGTTTATCTGAGAATACCTCAGACATATAGCTTGTAGCAAAGTCTGTCTTAACTAAATTTTTCATACACATATACTCATCTGTCAGGCATGCCATGGATGGTCTGTAAACCTGTCTTGATTAAAGCCTGTTTGAAAACCACAATCAGAAAATTATATTATGAAATTTCCCTAAGAGGTTATGTATTCATGTTAAAATGGCCAATCTTCCATAATGGTGCTAGATATAATCATAATAATGTTTTAAAATGTTATTTTTTCTTTCAAAAGTAAGGTTAATCTTCTTGTTTATCATATTCAAAATCTCAACAAGTGTACTAATTTCTTGAGTATCATTCCATGTCAGAAAACAACTGTGTAGAAATCTTCTTTGTCCCTATTGCTGTACCAAAGTTTTTAAGACTATATCTAAATCTTTTACGATAAAACCTTTATTAAACCTGGGATGAATTAATTCCTTGTATTGACCCAAAACAAATTCCATGACAGTAAATCCATAATCATGTTTGATACTTGGATTTAGAGCTACTACATTTAAAGAAACAAAGCTGTAATTTTCTAATAATGTTTTGGAAATTTTTTAACAAATTCAAAATTATCCATAATATTTGGAACATGAGATAAAAAAGGTTTTAATAATATATCCAAAAGTTCACTTAAATGATCAGTAATTTTTTTGATTACCTAATATTAATGTATGTTATTTCTGTAAGTAGTACCACAAAGTAGCTTAAGGGGATATACTTTAGACCTGGTATGTGATATTAACCTAGTGAGAAGTATTATTGAACACCATGTTAATTTGGAAACCATGTTTTAGTAAAATAGACCTTGTAGGTATATATGAAGATTGAGATTACTATCTATTAAATAATTTGTTTTCTGTCAAACATAACTTTTCAAAATATAGCATCTTTCTGTAATTGTTTTTAGGAAAGGTAGTGACGAGGCTGATCTGGTCGCAGCAAAGCAAGCAAATGTCAAATGTCCTCAAGTTGTTATTAAATTCTACGAGGAACGACTAACTTGGCATACAGGCACCAGTCAAGAAGAGGGTGATGAGAAAGCATCAAAGCAGTCTTAAAGAAAAGTGTGTTTAACTGGTGATACAATTGTACCATTTGGTTACTTTATCAGAAATGCATCATTTTTAACCATTGAGAGAAAAGCCATTTTCTCTCTCCTACTGTACATATACTTTTAAGCATCATCTTGTTTCTGGAACAGAATGAAAAGCTATAAGTTAGTGGTATCAATGTTTTATAACCATACATAGTAATGTTTATTTAGACCAACACAATTCTGGAAGAGGAAGAAAAACTAAATGGACACTAAACATGTTCCGTCATGGTAAAATCTGTTTAAATTAAGATAATTTTTATAAAAATTAGTTCAAGTGTAAAAACTAGAAATGATTATAAGTTTTGTTTTAGTGTTAGTATAACATAATGGGAGTCATTTTTTAACCCAAATAAACTAATTTTCTTGGTACAAGTAAATAAAAAACTAGAATTTTCTTATTACCATTTACAAAATGATCTTACAAATAACTATTAAATGATAAGTAAAGAATTCAGAGGTACAAGTATTATTCCTTATAAAGAGGTTTGTGACAGTTGATAAAAACAGTAATTTTTCATCAAAGTTTTAGTAGCTCAAATTTAAATGCATTCTTATGTGTAAATGGACAATAAAATTGTGGGAAATACAAAAAATACACCCCTACCAAAAATCTGTTATCAGTTCAAATACCAACTGCTTATAAACCAAATGTTAACTATAATTCTGTATTTACTAAGCGAAACTACATGAAAAGAGGCAAGCTTTTAGTAAAATTTACAAGTCTGTTGTACACAAGAAATCAGATGTGTTACAAAAGTATTTGTACTCATGATATGACTGAATTGACAATGTCAGAGTGAAAGATGATGTTCATGTGAAGAATAAAAATACTTTTGTCCATTGTGTAGTTTGCATATTACACTTGCAGAACTTTCAAAATGTACACCCACGTTTTTTTCAGTATCTATATATTGTGTTCTCCCCTACTATGGACTGTCACTAAATCAGAAATGTTGGATAAAATGAATAGTTCACAACTCTCACATCCAATACACAATACCATGTTGAATTGCACTCATGACATGCACACTTTGACCCCCCCCCCCTTCTCTGCTTGATATCTGTAATTTTTTATCTTGACTTTGACTTCTCCAGACAGTTTTGAAATGGCTACTTAAAATGACTTTCAAGTTTGAAGTCTAACCAAATTTGGATGGTGTTGATAGTGCTAATTTTCTCTAATCTTTGTTGTTGTATTATCATTTATATTGCAAACTGTGAAGTTTTGTATGAGTCACAATTTCAGTTCAGACCATCTTTCAGCTATACATACATATGTATGTATGTATGTATATATATATATACACACACAAACTGTTGTTTACTTACACTATTTATATGCTTTCTACAGCATTGTGTAACAGTATATGAAATAAGTAGCATATTAGTCTACATTTTCCTGAGTTTCAGGTACAAAACAACATTGCTGTGTAGGATACATGTAAGATTTTGTGGTTATGGATTATTTTGACAATATGTAGAAAAGGGTGTTTACTTTAAGCCTGAAAGTTTAAGTTACTGCAAACCTTCAATGTATGCTTTTTAGAGGTGTGTATCATTAAAAATGTTTTTATATGTTTTGGTCAGAAGACTAATAGTTGGAAGCTTTTGGTGTAAAAGTGAAAACATTGCTACTTTTCATACACACCAGATCAATTTTTTTGGCATAGAATACTATGCAATTCCAGAGACTGACAGTAATGGAGTCACTAGTTTTCACAAAATTCGTTACTTGTGTAAATAACTTAAGCATCACTACAGCAAGTTTTAACAAGCTGATGTTAAAAATTTGTTTTATGGGCAATTGTTTATTTAAAATAATTTCAATAACTGACACTTGTTCTTTTTTTTTATGCAGATGTGCAGTCTGCCTACTAAATAATTGTTTTTTTTTCAGTTGTCATAGTGTTTTTGTTCTACCAGTATTAACTCTGAGTGGTTAATCTAAAAGTCTGTCAGTTGACTTGTAATTTCTTACGAACTTAACTTTCTTAGTGTGCTTTAATTTTTAATTAAATTAATCTTTTTCTACCAAATGATTTCCACAAACAGTCTAGACTTACGTTAATGTGTTGGAAAGCAAAAGTGAATTTTTTTTTGCATTTTAAGTTTCATGGTGTATGGAAACATATTTACTGTCCATCAAAGTGTTGAATGTTTTGTGGGTGTACCTAGTTTGAAAAATAAACTTCATTATGCCCAGTTTATTAAAGACTGCCATGAAATTAAGTAAAAATATACTGTATTTAATATTTTAAAGACCTTATTTTTAGAAGATCGGAAATCTTAATGTTCATCTTTATTTAAGCAATACTACTATAAATTTAACAATTGGTAAGAGTAAATTTTTATGCAGTATTACTGGTTATAAAACTTTGGTTATGTAGGTCAGTGTTTCTCAACTAGGGTTCCGCAGAGTTTTGCAGAATGCAAGAGTTTCACATATTCTCATGCATAAGTACATACTATTCACATAATTGCAATCCAACTAATCAAATTTCTTTATTAGTATAGCAGGTTTTCATAATAACAACATAACAAGTCACTGCATTATTTTAAATTTGTGAGCAATACTAGACACAAATGGGTGCTTGAATCATGTAAACTTTTATTACTTGAGAGAGCACGCTTCTCGTTATGTTTGTGTGTGTGTGCCAGATTAATTGGCTCAAGAAATTTTTCGTTGTTTGCATGTATATGTGTGGGTATATAGCTGTATTAAACATACGTAGTCTGTCTGGAATTATTGATACAGTATTGAAGTAATGTGTTTTGTAATGAGTGCTGGGAAGGGTACTGTGACAAACATTTGATGCCAGTAGAGTTTTGTGGATTCAAAAAAGGTTGAGAACCACTGATATAGATTATCAGATAGCTTGTGAGAATGAAAAGTAAATGTTAATGTTGAACTATTTGCTGAACTATCAACTATTAAGTTGATGAGAGTTGTTTATCAAATTAGTTCTGAATGTTCACTTGTAGCCAGCCTATCTGTACAATTTTTGTCTCATCCATGTAAAGTAGTGAAGGCATGATTTATCAGTGAACCTCTGGAGAAGAAAATACACAGTTTCATAGAATCTGCTTCATCTAATAGTATACCAGTCTCCTAGAAATCTGAAGTGATTAGTCAAATCTGTGTATAAGATGAAGGTACCTCATAATACTTCAACAAACAAAAACGGTATAGCTTAACCAAGTGATTCTTTGACATACAATTGATCATTGTAGAGAAACAAAAAATGGATACAATATGAGCTGAAAAATAAATTAGCATGCCATCTATTAACAAGTACATATGTAATTCAAAAATCATATTATCTCTTTCCATAATAAAAATACTAATAGTTTGCTGGATACCATTTGGAAATACTTTAGATATTACAAGAAACAGTATTCTTTTTTCGTAGTATTGAGTAAAGAAATAAAGACATCCACTTTTGATAAATCGTTAAGTATTTAAAGAAACAAACTAAATGAATTTCTCAGGGTAAAGAAATTAGATGGATTTTAGGGTAGCTATATCAAGCATATTTAAGGTTAACGTCATCGACAGATCTTAGTATCACAAACCTCACGGATGTTTCAGACCGTTATTCTGCTGTATTTTAATAGGTGTAGGCGATGTAGTAATTGAAAGCTTAAATTATGTTTTTCGATGCTAAATCTGTCGTTTGTTTTTATAAGTGATTTCCTGGCGGATTTCATACTTTATTGGTGTGGTTAGAATTTGTTTTTTTACGTACTTTTAATTGTAAATTATCTCGATGAAGTATAGAATTTTCATTAAATTTAACAGTTAGAAGAAAAATTAAAGCCGAAAACTGTTATACACTGTTTCTTTCAAAAATATTAAAAGTATCATAGATACTAAATTTCAATAATCCAACATTAAATACTTTAGTGTGAAATAAGTGTGCAATGTAAAGATTGAAATAACTATAAAATTGCAGTGAACGACATATTTTTGGCCCCTCGGCAGTAAGTGTGATGAGGGCTCACACCGCTAAAATAAAACAGGTTTAAATATTCGTGGTGGACACAGCACGGATATCCCATTGTGTAGCTTTGCGCTACATTTATATATATTGAATTATACCAACTTTTCGCATTCAATTTCGTTTTCTAACTAAAAGGGCTATTTCTTTGGAAACATTTATTACAAGTCAGTAACATTAATTATAAAGTAGAATAATAATATTTAGTTTTTTTAACGACTAACATACGTTCATACATTGGCAAACACTAAAACTTCATAATCTGAAATGAACTAAAACGTAAATATGGAGATTTTAAAGTCAACGGTCAATGACCATTTTACTTCACACGTTCGTTTATAAGCACAAATCAACTGGTCTGTCTGTATCCATGGTTCTGTAAATCGGTATCCAATAAGGTCATAACGTATTATCTAAACCCATCGACCTAAAAATCGCTATAAATACAAGATAACCGTAGCTGGAATTTGAACGAAAACTTTTCTGGGCGGTGTCTTGGGGGACACAAAAGATGGATGTGAAACAATATTTTCCCCCCTCTTATTTGGAGCCGCAATGGACAAATTAAGAGAAATCTTTATTTTAATAATGACGTACAATATACTAATATATATGAGAACTGATAGTAAGAACTCAATCATGATGTTTCGCTTTTTTATATTTTCTCTATTTCATTAATTTGAGCTTATATTTATACAAAATAAAATAGAAAATGAACTGCATTGCTTCACTATGTGACATTTATATGGTTAGTGTTTTATCATTATGTTATTATACACTGCTTCCCACAGAACCTTGTTCCTGATATTTTCTCCAGTGTAAGTGGTGTTTTAACCAAATAAAATTCGCAATCAAACAATAATATGATAGTGTTATATCTCGTTGATTTTTTTTTAGACTTTCAAAAATTTTATAAATGAAATACATAACTATCCTCAATATATAAAATACTACATTAAAAAGATAAAATGCCTAGATTGTCAGTCCTGTGTATATTTTTATTAAGTAATCAAAACCAATCGAACAATTTTAAACAGAATAAGTTTCTGTGATATGAAATACTTTAAATTAATTTATAATAGTAACAGTTTTATTGCCAGCGTTCCCCGGAAGGTGTCGCTTGTATGGTACATCAAGTGTTTTAATTTATTTTAGTAGTTAGTAAACGGAATCTTACACGTTAAAACTTCTTGTTTGCAGTTCTACTATAGATTTATTTTATTGTACTAATCTTTCATTAAAAATAATCTGCTCTTCATTGGCTCAGCGGAAGATCTGAGAGCTTATCACCCAACAAATTAGGTTTCGATTGTGCGGTGGGCACGGCGTAGATAGCCCATTGTGTAGCTTAACTACAAACAAACTGAACTTGTTCGACAATTCTTAGTAATAAGATTATTTTTTTCAGTATTATTCAAAAGAGAGATGAGTAAAGCTACTTGAGTTTTGTTGTTAAAAATTGCTGTTATCGTACCGTTTCAGTTAAAAAAAAAAGTTAATAAATGAATCTATTTTCGGCAGTCTTCAGCCGCCAACGAAATTAACTTACCAGTGCTCTTAAATGTCATCGAATTTGCGCTAGTCTTACCGTCTCAGTAAAAATTAAAACAAATCTAACTAACAATTTTTGAACTAACGTGTGTTATTTGGCCGACTTGCTGTCGGTTTTCAACCTTTCTACATAATGTATTTAAAATTTGATCCAACTTAAAAAGCTCTGTACTCAATTGTAATTTTGACCATGAACCATAAAAGACCAGGAGTAATTAACGTATTGAATAAACAAAGTAATAAATGGATATACCAAATTTGGTAGCTAATCCTTTTTTTTTTTTACTTAAGTCGTTAACAGTTATGCTTTTGTACACAAAACCAGTTTGTTTTCAACTTATTTCGTAGAAAGTCCCAATGTCCCTTTCTCTTGTTATGTTCAGTAATTTGAAAAATAAAAATTTTGATGACAGAAATTACAGCTTTTCTAAAGTATCTAAATTCTTGATTGTCCGAAATGCTAACTGGTAATGATAAGCTTCTGATGACACCAAATATCGAGCAATAAGTTATTTTACTGGTGTTGTTATCGTATAATAATCAGAAAAATGTGTTCTCAAACGGATGTTTATAAATGAAATAAATTTCTTGTGTGTGTGTATATGTAACGACAAAATCAAAACATTAATTAGTTGTTTAATATTAAACGTCTTATTTTCGTATTCGTCGTAATTTATTAAATCTTGGTTAGGACCGGAAGTTTTTTATTATTTTATTGAATTGATTATTCTGACATGAGCTGCTGAAGTGATGATGCTTGAGATCAACAATCGTAGCAGAAGCAAGCCTTAGTTAAACGTCACAATGTCGTCTTTAGTGACGTCAATGCTCGATTTTCCTTTTATGGGAAACGAGGCCGGTCCTTCTGTTGAGACGCTGATGTGAGCTCGGGAAGGTTGAATCCGAGTGAATTATCTGAAACTGGTTTACCGTGCATCGTGCAATAAAACACATTTGATGTCAGAAGAGAAAAGATATACATATAAAGTTGAAACATATTTTCTAATACGCGAAAGAACTGTTTACTGACTTGTACTGTTTAGAAAATTTTTCACTGACGCGAGCTATAACACGCGACAAGGCTATACAAATTTGGAGCCGATCCACTTTACCATAACACTCGAAGGGAAAAACACATTCAATGAAACGCTTTTGATGGTGCTTGAGAATACTTCAGGCTCGCTATATTTGGACATAACCAGCTACAAATATCACTATGGAAAGTAAAACCGTTGAAGGTAGGCCATGTTTAGGTTAACTTATAGATAATTAGTCTACTGTACTGTTTATTTTTTTGACGAATTATAGCTTGTGGGTGTTTTACCAAAATACCAAACAATGGTACTATCTCGGTAACTCTGTCACTTTTAGTTTTAAGTTTTTATATGGCTAGTCTAGTCAGCGTAAGCTGGAATTAGAGGCCTTCTTAAGAGTTTCAGAGCCAAAATCCTGGATCACTTAATTCGAATGTGAGGTTTAATTTATTACATTGTTTATTTTAAGGTATTTTTGAATGCAAATAAAAATCCAGAACAATTAACTTTATTTCCGGTTATTTGATATCTTATTTACTATCCAGAAATTAAACTTAGAGACTTAAACTTACTCAATTTACCGTATACCATTAATATGTATATAAATGTCCTAACACTAACGAAGTAACATCGCAATGAGGCTGTAGTAGAAGCCTACCCTAACTTAGCAAGGGCAAATTATTACGAGTATTGATTGATGTTATACTGTGTTAATATACTCGGTAAACAAGTCATTTGGTCTTTTTCTTACACGAGCTTAATTTTCTAATAACTCTTTGGGTCAAGGTTCACACTATTAATATATTAGTAATAATATCTAATATATTAGCAGTAATTATTCATCAAGAACTACCACGAGCGACAATATGTAATAATAATAGCGGTTTGACAAAAACGTTTACTAGGTTATCGTTACTTTTTAGGGTTAAATATGATGTCATTGTAAAGTACAAAATTTTCAGCAAAATTATATTTATGGCAATGAATCTAAAATTAAAATTTTAAAACTCAATTCGATATAGTTTCATAAAAAGTTGATAAAAATACCGTGATTAATAAATACACTGTTTTTGTGAGTATGTGAAATTAGATTTATTTTAAGGTAAAAAAAAAGCCTATAACAACTTATGAAAAAACAATTTCCTTATACATCAGTTAGGAATTCAACACTAGATTATCGTATAATCATTACAATATTTTCCGTTTTCAACATGGATATACACAAATTTATCAAATGAAACAGAAGTGAAGAGTATTTTACCATTCAGTATATTTTTTAACTAAACATAGGTAAACGTTTTTATAAATAATGTTTTTAGTTTTAACAAAAACCTGATAACTCAGTAAAACACGTTTCTAATTCAAAGAAAAGTGTAGTTTCCTTCCATTCAGTTAAAACAAATTTCATCTTAATCAGAAATGATTTTCTAACTCAATTCCTAATTGTATTTTTTAATTTCTGCGTATAACATTTAATACAGACGTTACTAACTTTCTCTTGTACTTCGCAGTATGTGTACACTATCGTATGTGGAGAAAGTCAACATCCTGTTTTTGTACGGTTACAACAGCTGCTCTTTCTGTTGTAGTTGTACAATGCCACATCAATTTATTTAAGTAGCACAAAGTAACACTGTTTACATACACCTACAGAGAAAGAGAAACACAAGTCAATAGCAATTTTCCCAAATATAGTAATTGTTGTATTTTTAAAAACATTAAGTGATATGTATGTAATGTATAAGCGTCAGACAGTGGTTTGGTTCTCTATTACAGGGGGTCAGCATCCTCATTGGCCTCCCGTAAATTTCGATAGGTTTACGATCTCCACACAACAAAGTTAGATATTCAGTCCAAAATAGTGGATGACTATAAACAGATAACTGGAGATGAAAGACTTAAAAAGGTAGTCGTGATTAAGGTAAAAAAAATCATATAAGTTGGTCATTAAACCGCATATTTCCAATTTAACTTTGCTTGTGATTTTCCTTGATTTCCTTTGCATCATGGCCTTACTGCATTAAACTAAGTTCCAATTGCCACGCTTTCTTTGCAAAAAAAAAAAAAATAATAATAATAATCAGAGAGCGTATCCCTGATTTCCTGACTTGCCTTCTGCAGATACACTTCTTTCAGGCTTGATTCGCTTCAACTTTTACCCCTCTCCCCACACGCACGTTTTGTTTCCGATGTCTACGTAATGTTATTAATATTACGTATACAGCAATAAAAAGATATTGCCATTTAATTTATTAATTTTTTTTAAATCCGTAAACAAAACATAGAATGTTATGCATATATATAATTAAACAATCGATAACATTATCATTAGGGTTAGCATAATGAAGATCATGTACACATGGCAACTGTTTTAATATGACTAAGGAAAGGTTTTCTAAAAATTTGTGCATACTTTAAGACTTCAACATGCAACAGAATCGATGGAAAATATCTGCAGAACTGTAATTAATCTTCCCTGGCTCCTTGCCAGACAGAGTCTCGGTATTGCTCCGATGTTACTAAACCAAATCAAAATGGATAGGTTTAAGAAATTTGTAGTAAAAAAAGAAAAAAGTGTTTATAAACGTGCAAGGAAGAAAAATATGAGAATAAAAACGATTCGAAACACGCTAATATTGAGAAAACAGCACAGTACACGAGAAGAAAGCGACAAAGCCGTATCGAGCGTGAATATGGTGTCATAAAGATTCAGATATAAACAGACCATATTTAAGATAATAGATAAACAGATGAAACAGAAATTATAATTATGCCCTCCGCATCCCTATGACTTACTTTCGCATATACTGTACATGTTATTTTCCCAGGTTAATTGTTGTTACTATATTACTTCATAGTAGTAATATTTGTATAGTAGTTTTTGAAACGTCTTTACTTATAAATTAGTACTTTAAGATATAGTTTATGTGCTCCTATAGTCAACCCCCCCCCCCCCGACTCTCTGTTCCTCACTTTGGGGATGCGCCTCGCACTTTGCTCACCGCGAGGTTATATCATAATTTAGCTTAGATTTCGTAATTCTAAAGATTCATTATTGATCAATACATGTAATTGTTATATTCTTTTTAATTGTATAATTATTTCTCTTTATGCCGGGTATTCCTTTTGGCCAATGGCCAGGTGGTTAGGGCGCTTGACTCGCAATCTGAGGGTCGCGGGTTCGAATTCCCGTCCCACCAAACATGCTCACCCTTTCAGCCGTGGGGGCGTTATAATGTGACGGTTAATCTCATTGTTCGTTGGTAAAAGAGTAGCCCAAGAGTTAGCGGTGGGTGGTGATGACTAGCTGCCTTCCCTCTAGTCTTTCACTGCTAAATTAGGGACACCTAGCGCAGATAACCCTCGTGTAGCTTTGCGCGAAGTTCAAACCAAATCCTTTTGGCCAAAACTAAGTTATCTGGCGACTGGCAAAAATATACTAAGGCTCAAACCTGTTTAAATAGTATGTTATGATTATTGTTGTTGTATATACGGTTTTCTATAAAACACTCGTGTAATATAAACACGTGTGCGTATATATATGTATATATGTTCTGATGTTAACATATTTCAAGTAGTGATGTGGTTGAACGAGTACTTGTTTCATAATTATCAAAGCCCTAAGACTACTCCCAAAAAGAAATATATTACTTTGAGCTGATAAAACCAGTAGGCTGTTAGGATGTGAACAGAAATAGATATTACAATCAGATTATTATTGTTTTCGTAATGTACAATGGTTTCATAACAGATCAACCTTCTTATCATGCTATTAAAAAAAATAGTGCAAAGAGCTCTGATGACTTATTTAATTCTTTGTCTTCCCATCGACAGTATGTCTACCTTTTAGAGCAGAGAACTAATAATAACATGTTAGTATCTCTGTATCACTTGGTTTTTTTTTTTATGGGTTACTTACATTTTGGGGGTTATTCTATAGGTTTTTTTATTTCATAATTTTTGCGCATAGTTGTCCCTAATTTCAAAGTCGCAGACCAGAAGAAAGGCAGTTAAGTCAATAACACCCGTCGCCAGCTCTTGAGATACTTTTGCCTGACCAAACAATAGAATGGAATATTAATATTGCTTGTATAAAGCACCCACGGCCCAAAAGTACTGAATGTGAACTGCGAACCATGAGCCTTCGGATTCATAGTCCAGGCACTTTAACTATTAGGCTACACCCGGCCCTATTCTGTATGGGAATTAAGTAAAATGTTTGATGAATTTAAACACATTGTTATAATAACGAGGTCAATTTTGGTTGTAGTTAAGCGCAAAGCTACACTATGGGCTATCTTTGCTTTGCCCACCACAAGTATCGAAACCCGGTTTCTAGCTTTGTAGGTCCGCAGACATAACGCTGTGGCACTGGGGGGAAATAACGAGGGCAATTAATAATTGAAAATAGTCATTTATTTAACTCTATCACATATAGGCCCGGCATGATCAGGTGGTTAGGGCGCTCG